CCACGCGATGTGATCGTAAAAATACATGCAAATTTTTGGAAATCCCATGGAACCGCATGAAAAATGCTGCCAGTTCCTGCAATTTTACAACTTTCCAAGCGTTCCTGTCAACCGGAAAGAAACTAATCGTAAAATTTTCGAAAATTTCTCAATTCTACAATTCGAACTTGCTCGAATTAGAAATTCTTCTAGAGCTGATACCGCAACAGCGAAAAAAATTACAGACTTTGTATTAAGGATGAAGTAGAAGGCTCAAGTGTAAATTTATGGCATTACAAGCGATAACAGCAAACATTATCATTAATCGTGGACGACGAAGTGTTTGCTTTCTCGAGAAAAGTTCAGATAATGAAAAAAGGTGTTATCGCGCGTTAAAGTGTGCGATAACGCCAGTAAATCATCCGGACTGAAAATTTCGAATAGAGTTGAAATTCGAGCCAATTCGACGAGGCTTTCTAGTTTCTTTTTCTTTTTTCGAGCTTGTTCAAAATGTAAAAACGCGCGAATTTTTCGCATTTCAAAACGACGAACGTTTCAATTTACCCTTCGCTTAGCACCTTTGACCTAATTACACACAACGTGCACCGCAATCAAAAGGTTAAACAAACGTAGCAAACCGTTGCTCTTGTAACGTGCAATCAAAGTAATTGAGCCTTTGAATTTTCCCGTTAATCCCCGACGAAAGCGTAAAACATTTTAATCGATAATAACGTTACAAAACTTCGGCCGTTGAATGCCGCGTGAAAACTTTCCGCGGGATTTTTAGCACACCTTTTTCACGCCAATACCGTCGGAAGTAACGTTTATTCCGCGAACAAGTGAGAATTAATTCTTTAATTTATATACCGATTCGATTCGACAGATTTGGATTAGTTGCAAATAAACTGGGCAAATAAGTCGCGATATTAGTGAAATATTAATTCACGTGTCAAATTAGGAGTATATTTGAAAGCTCGATATTCGTACATTGGTAATAAACTGTCCATTACAATCGTTAGTTCGTGGTTTACCGTATAAATTGTTATTTACAGCGTTAATAGAAAACTAATCAAAGGTTTATACGTTTAACAGTAAATTTTCTAATCGGTGATATTAGATCATCCGCGCTTTTGATTTGATAAACGTGTATTAGTGACTGGTGATCTATATAATATTTAGCGAAATTTTAGTGATATTTCAATTTTTATGTGCATTTGAAATCCACCCATTTTTCTCTAAAACAATCAAGCTTTTTCCATAGTGAACTTTCATAGCAATTTGTTTATATCAATAGAGACAGAAATTGAGAAAAATGTCGACGTGAGAACAAAATTTTAGCTGTGAGAATTGGAAGCTTATAACATGGATAAGAAAAAGCAGCAACGCAGCAACCCCTTAAGTAATTCCTTAAACCAATTTCAAACCTCTCAAATCTTCCCTACTTCAACGAAAATGCGAATTATTTTTATCACCTAATCCGATTCTTCGAAAATTTATCCCCAAATATCGTGTTCAGAATATAAGAGAGCGTCTTCTAAGACGATGATACGCGTGGATTCACCCTTCTCCATTTATTCTTAGGAAAAGGAGGAGGGACACAGGGCTAACGAAACACGTGAGACTTATAAAAATGCATAGAAAGGATAATTCAGAATCGAGGAGCAATTTTACAGGGCCGTATTCGTCGTGGATCTTTGCCACATCGATCGTGCGTGCACACGGTGCGGATCGGTCGGCGAAATTCTCATTAGCGAGGCGCGTAAGCCGCACTTTCGTCGCACCTAACGTTCCCCATAAGACGGAGTATAGTCGGTGGAAGCGATATAACGAAGTCGTAAATTAAGGCATTAAGATTGATGTTGAAAAATGGGCCTTTGAACAGAATGAACGTCGACACGTCACACACACAGCTTTCTTCCTCAAAGTGTTACAAGAAACTAAGAAAAGAAAAACAGAAAATGAAAGAAAATAATTACGTAGAATTGCACTTATTGAACGATTAATTGAGGATCACGTGTGACACAGACATGAGTGTTAAGTGATTAAGGCACAGACAAATTTTGCAAATATATTGCAATGGAAGAACCAATTCTGAGTTAACATCGTCCTCTACGTTACAGATTTTCTGAAAATTTTTCTCTACAATTACTTATGCAATTAGCAAATGTCAATCCAAAAACATCATACTAGATAGTGACATAATAAGTTGTTAAATTGGCCCTAAGCCAATAAGCACAACTTTTACTAAAGCAAAAATAATATTAAAAAAAGACAATTCTAAGGAGGCTGGAGCTCCTTATCTCTCTCAAATTACTGTTTTGGCGGTCACTTTGACACCTCGCTAATTTCACGCGACCTCGCATCGCTTCCACCGACTATACACCTCCCTTTCTATCCCGCTAGCCGCCTTCCGATCTCCGCACTAAAGGCTGGAGAGGCTGTACGATATTGCCACGCCGCGGAAGACACGGGATTTCTCGTACGGGAGATGTTCCGTCGCATTAATTAGGAGGCAACACGGGACGGAAACGTGCGACATTCGCCACTTTTCCACCGGCGAGGCCAGGCCGGTGATCATAACGCGGTCGCGTTACGCCGCCACCTCGCGCACACGCTCGGTTGCAACCGATGCGGCGGAACACGCTTTATTACGCGGCCGCGCAACTCCGTCGGGCTGATTACACAGGCCGAATCACGCAATTGGGACGGGCCTCGTGTTTCGTTCGCTCGCGGATAGCTAGGCGGAAAGTTGAATTGTATAACACAGTTTACGCTCGTGTTGTCTCATTGTCTCGCCGGCTCGTGATGATACTGTTGTTAACGTAACTGTTCCCTCTTTTGTTTGTTTGCTTCTTTTTATTTTGTTTTACACGAGTTACCAGTGAAACAACGCGTACTGTTCGGAATTATTGGATCAATGGGAAATTCTGCGTTCAATATGTTAATAATTTTGGTGGTGAAGAATGAAAGATTTTCTTCGGTGATTTTTGAGTGCTTAGAACAAGTTTATGTTGGAACTTTTTCTAGATGCACGTCGTAATTTTATTTTATTATTAAAAGTACGATTCGTGGTAAATTTGTGACTCAAATTGTGAATTTTGTAATACGAAATGTTGAAATTTCATTTCATTTTCTGGACAATTAAAGGGCACAAGGAGTGTCATTATGATAAGAGAAACGTATTTTCGTTCCTTTTCAGAAACTCCTGAAAATTGTCTGTTATTTTCGCGAGTTCTCTTAGCAAACAGCTTTCTTCTCTATTTTTCGGTTGAAATAATCCTCTCTCCTTCAAATGCCTTAATTTGACCAAATTCTTCCGCATTAAAGCGTTTTCCACCTCACAAAATACAGACTACCACTAATTATAACTATAGAATATACAGAAAATGAACGAATCGTGATCACCTCGAAAATTCAAAGGCAAATGACAGTGTAAAAAATGTATACGATGAATTGTACTAACGTTAAATCTATACTAAAAATAAATACCTTATTGAGGCTTATTGTTCGAATTATCGATCTCACTGTATCGCTTTCACCAACTATACGCTTGGAGAACCAATCTGAACGCGAGTACAACAGCATACCGAATTGAATAAGGCAGAAGAAGACAATCTACGCTTCTCCTGACAATATCGTCGTCGGAAATTTCGCCCTGTAAATCGACTTAACTTTCTAACGCGCGTTAGATTGCCTCAAAGTTGTTCCTTATTGGATGCTAGCCGTGATCGCGTTAATTCTTCCCGGCAGGAAATTACAAGCGCGATTCGCTCGATAATTTTACGCTCGACCAACCGATAGAAATTTATCTTTTCGAAGCATTCACTCTCGCCTAACTTTATTCAAAACGCTGACTTTTTCACGAGTAATACCTTTTTAAGACTTTCCGAACGGTGAAAGTGGCGTAAATGAAAATGAAACTTGACTAGGTATTGTTAAAAGAATAATACGAGATCAATTAGATTTCACTGGAGTTGAAAACAAATTATGATAAATTGAAGGAATATTTCAAATATTAGACAGCTATTAGAGTTGGTTATACAGTCTACCAAATATTGACTTTAACAAAGTTAAACGTTGTGAAATTGAATTGATACTTTATTCGAGGCAGAGGTTGTACACATCGTTAACTAAATTTGAACACTGTAAACATTGTTGAAACAAATTTAAACGTTGTAAACGTGTCGAAGTAAATTCTAATCTTACTAGACACAGAAAGCTTTAGTTTCTACTATTCTGCGACATAAAAATGTTATTTTTATAATTCGTATAAAATTTCAATTTTCATTGTAGCTATAGGCCCTTTTAGAAAAATTAAAAATTTGTATAAATACACCAAGAAAATTAATGATTCTCTGCAACTCAATTCTGATTGCAAAGTAAATGAAAAATTACCTCGAGATGTTGCGAAAGTTTGTATTTTTTTTTTTTTTTCAAAGTCAGTACAAAGTTACCAAAATTAGTTCTTATTAAGTGATACACTCTAAACGTGAAACAATTGTACACTCAAGTGTCAAAAGATTCACCAAATTTTTTCTGGTATTCAGATAAAAGAACCAATAAATTCTCCTACTTGAAACACGAGAAACGAAACATGTCGAAACAGACGTATGAATTATCTGTTAATTCAAAATAGCAAATTAATTACCATGCTCATCTAGGTGCAAAAATGAAAGCATTACTTGAAACATCGAACAGAGACTGTTTACTAGCGTCAATTTAGAAGTTGCAAGAAAAGATGAGACAGATTTCGAAAGTATGAATTGTTAATAATTAATAATTAACAGTGTGTCTTCACGAAAATGCTAATTTCCTTGAAACTTTCCATCTAATCTTCGTATGCAAATTTCTAATTACTGAAGAAACTAATTCAAATTGGAGAAATGCGATATAAAGTGGAGAACGACGACATTAACAGGGAAGAGAGCGTTTTCGGACGCTTGAACCAGCCGACTAACATTCGAATTGACGTGACTAGAATCGTGCAAAAAAAAAAAAAGAAGACGATTTTATTAAATTCACTAAACGCAATCCTCGTGCGGTTTATCCCCGGACGGTTGTGAGGTCTTGACGGACGCCGTGGATGGAGTATCGTTACCTGCATTTTTATCCATCGCTGGTCCCCACGTCTTCTTTGGTCGAAACAAACTCCGGTCCCTCTGCGGACAATTAAAACGCAAGTGAGATTCTTTGAACAATCACACGCGTCGGGGTTTGTGCAAACAATTCGAGTCAATGTTCGCCGGGCTCGCCTTTTCAACTGCACGCTACCAGACCGTCAAACCGAATAAATACGGTGAGATAAAAGTGGGCTGATAAGAATGTATATTTTTAGAGTACGATCTTTTATAGATTTAAAGGGAAAGCAGATATCTGTGAGGACTACTGGCACTTTTGTCTTTTTCAATTGGAGGAAGTTGTCATTCACGATTTTAACTCTATCTTGGGGTAACCCTAAAATTTTGAGAGTACGATCTATTAGAGATTAGGGTGAAAATAAATGCTCGCGAGGATTACTGGCACTTTCACCTATTTTAATCGCAGAGAAATTGTCACTTACGATTTTAGCTCTGTCTTGGGGTAACCCTAAAATTTTGAGAGTACGATCTTTTAGAGATTTAGGGGGAAAATAAATATCCGTGAGAAGTACTGGCATTTTCATCTTTTTCAGTCGCAGAGAAGTTGTCACTTACGATTTTAGCTCTCTCTTGGGGTAACCCTAAAATTTTGAGAGTACGATCTTTTAGAGATTTAGGGGGAAAATAAATATCCGTGAGAAGTACTGGCATTTTCATCTTTTTCAGTCGCAGAGAAGTTGTCACTTACGATTTTAGCTCTCTCTTGGGGTAACCCTAAAATTTTGAGAGTACGATCTTTTAGAGATTTAGGGGGAAAATAAATATCCGTGAGAAGTACTGGCATTTTCATCTTTTTCAGTCGCAGAGAAGTTGTCACTTTTCACGATTTTAACTCTATCTTGGGGTAACCCTAAAATTTTGAGAGTACGATCTTTTAGAGATTTAGGGGGAAAATAAATATCCGTGAGAAGTACTGGCATTTTCATCTTTTTCAGTCGCAGAGAAGTTGTCACTTACGATTTTAACTCTACCTTACGATAATCCTAAATGCTAAGATAAATTAATTATTCCAACACTCGCAGCGTTTACCACTGTATTAAGCATAGAATTTACACATAAAATGAATTTATATTTTCAAAATAAATTCTGAATTTGGGTAAACGTACCCAGTTTACCATTTCAACTCCTCAATCGTAAAAATTTGAATCTAGTTGATAAACATTTCAGATCAAACGAACGTTCTCACGAAATATTATCTTGAACCTGAAAGAACCGTTGTATCGGGAAAAGAGGGGTTTCGTTTCGCGTCCCTTTCTTCACGAAAATTTTCCTCTCGCTAGCTAGCCGTCTCATATCTCCGCGAACCGCACAAGTAGTTTCGAACTGTGCAGGGAGTCGAAAACAGGGGGAAAGGAGATAAGAGAAATAGTAAATTTATCGAGTAACACAAAGCGGAAGCGGTCAAGAAGAGGGCAGAAGTACGGGTGAAATAGGTTCGATCTGTAGGATGGAGCGCGGAACGGAACTTTTCGTTTCAAAGTACGATTACCTACGTACCGTGGAAAAACTTGTATTAAGACGTTCCAAGTTGGCGAGATTTTACGGTAAAGGGAGGCAACTTTTAAAACGGGCGCGCACATCCTGCGGGGCTTAGCCGGACAGTGCTACGTGCCTTTTAAAAAATTTGCAATTCGTCTACTGTTCAATTATAGCTACGATTCGCTCGTAATTCTCGCAAAGTAAGGGCACACCAGGGAAAATCCCTCTTTTCCCCGTGCAACGATCCTTTTAGGCGCAAGCTGACGTTTTT